AGTGTTCAAGGGGATCGAGAATTATCTGCCAGTGCGTTTGAACTCGAGACTTTGTTCAAATTTAACAACCATGAGCTTTTTGCCGACTCGACCACGCCTCCAACACAATTAAGCGTTACGTGTCAACTGGTTATGCGCCATTGAGGCCATTGACTCCGATTTCAGCCTGCTTTTCTTTTTGGATTTGCTTCCATAGCCTTTGTCCAACCAAGAACAAACTACAAGGCAGCAGTTGTTCAATTTTGGAGTTGTCTCTCCTAGAAGAGTGGCTGTCCCCAGCTAACGAGCCTCATCTGCCCGGGGGTTCTAACTCGAGACTTTTCGGTTTAGCTTTTTTAGCAACCATGAGTTTTACCGACTCGACCACGCCGACCCCAACTACCCAGTGTAGGGATCTATATGTGGTGGGGGTAGATCCCTTTAATAGCCCCCCCCCACCCTCAGCCCCCAGCCTACCCACCGCTTGTTATACTTTTTAATGTAAATTGTGTTGAATAGATACATCTCTTACATTCTTTAACATTGCGAGATTAATTTAGAAAACGGTCGAAACAAGCACCCAACATAAATAAAAAACAAAATAAGCGTCATTGTTCTGATTTACTGTAGTCATGACAATAGAGGGCAGACTCTACTCCACCTACTCCCGGCCTTAAATTGCACTACTTTACACCGGTGCACTACAACTGTACCTTCGCCGCTCTCATTGAACTAACACCAAGCTATTTTTAGCTCGGATTAGAATCTGAACGATGATGCTAAACCGCTTTGTGTGTGTGATCTTATTTATAGAAAAATATTATTACTCTCAAAAGTAAGCTATTTTCGTTTCCAGGGCTCAGATTGTACATACATTTTATGGACAACTTTCAATAGTAAGTGAGCAATTTTTAGGCTCATTAAAAAGTAGGCGTGTGAGAGGGGGTGGAGGGGGCACTCCGGAAATCTTGGAATATTAATTTAATCCACTTCCGATTGCGCAATTGAGCTGAAATTAGGCACAGTGGTAGATCTTAGATAACAATGCAAGAATATTGAAATTTTAAACTAATTAGTTAGGCTATTAGTCATAAAACATTAATTTAAAAATTACAGTAGTCGAGGGTGAACTCTTTTCAGTTCACGATTGGTTGATTTCGTGCCCTATCGTAGACTGTAAACTAACCAGGGGCAGATAACTCTATTTTAGTGATCGCAAGCGACTGGATGTATTTTAACACACATGTTTTTAGTCCTAGCCTATGCAGTGTCAACTTCATTTCAAACGAATGACTAAAAAAGTGAAAAATAGTTCTCACAAAAAAATAAAAAAATAAAAAATAAATAAAAGGAAAACGTGAACACAGGCATTTATTATGTAGAATATAATCTGTTTCACATGGAGTGCATAGGTAGGTTTACGTTCAGTAATGTAAGTAATGAGTTCAATTTTCATCCTTGAGTTTCCAGGTTTTTATTTTTAGTCATACCAGCGTATAGCTTTAGTAAGGTTACACCAAACTAAATTACTGTTTATTTTTAGTGCATATTTTTCATTTGTGATTTTGTTTTGGTGTGTGAATATAAAAAAAAAAAAGTTTTCCTTAATTGTTTTTTTAAATGTGAGAATTATTTGTACAAAATCTCAGAATATCATTTTAATATGATATAATTTGAGCATGCTGATAATTAAATTCCAGTTTTAAAATGGTAGGAGGTTAAGTCTATTAGTTATACAAGAAGTGGATTAATCAGCAGATCTGTCGACTCAAGTTCTACTCTAGTTGACAGACGACCCAAGAGTGGTATGTGTTGTCTTGTGTAAAGTTCACTATTATAACCTGATGGTCAAACAATCGAGTGAAGTAGAGTTCACCTGTTGCTATGACCTTTCCATAACGGGGGTTATGGTGTCAATCAGAGGTTGGACGGTCTACTGACTTTACCCCGGATTCAAACTCGAGACTTTCGGGTATGCAGTCTAGCGCTCCACATCAAGGCCACGCTGCCCCTAATTGTTAAATGTATTATGTGATTAGTGGTGGTGAATGACATACAGTAACTGATGTATGGTATGATGACCTTATTTCAGTGAAGCCCAGAGGCGTAGCCACCCTTCCCGGCGCCCGGGGACATACTTTCAATTTGGCGCCCCCTCGGGAGCAAATTTTCGATTTGCACCCACCCCCTCGAACTTTTCATTTGCACCCCCCCCTCAAACTTTCGATTGCACCCCCCCCCTCGAACTTTTCATTTGCACCCCCCCCCTCAAACTTTCAATTTGGCGCCCCCCTAAGGTCGGCGCCCGGGGACATATGTCCCCCCCGCCCCCCCCCCCCCCCCTTGCTACGCTACTGGTGAAGCCGTCACAAAGGTGCCCTACTATGGGCAAACATAGAAAAGCAAATCTGTCTTTTTATGGCTCTAGTGTCCATTTAGATCTCATCTCAACACATCTATCAGTTGCGTCACACAACACAAAGAGCTCAGATCACCCAGTTATCAGTTGCGTCAGACAGTACAAAGAGTTGTTATAGTTATAAAAGTACCCCCAGCCAATACAACATATAAGCAGGGGCGTAGCGAGGGGGGGGGGGGCGGGGGGTGCGGACCGCACCGGGTGACACCATTTAGAGGGGTGACACCAAGGCAAAAAATAGCAAAATATATAGAGAAAAACTTGGGGGGGTGCAAATCGAAAGTTTGAGGGGGGGGGGGGTGCAAATCGAAAATTTGAAAGTTTGTCCCCGGGAAGGGTCTTTACGCCTCTGGGGGGGGGGGGGGGGTGACACCATTAAGTGCCGCACCGGGTGACACCCGACCTCGCTACGCCACTGCATATAAGTTTTGAATACTATAGGCCCTTCTTAGGTAAGTCGATGTGAAAACTTCAAGTGTTAGCTTTAGGACTTTTTCTTCGATCTGCGAGAATCGATTTTATTGTTAGGATATGAAGTGATTGCCAATAACGTGAGTGTGGAATCTTTTACTAGTTTGATTTTGTTTCAAATGATCAGAAGTCTGGATGGTGTGGCCTATAGACAGAGTGTAGTGGTATAGACGGTAGGGCTGGGGTGTAGAAAGAGCCAAGTGGTTCGGATCCAACCACAACATCAATCAGAACACTTGAAATACTTTCTCACCTGAGTATGTGTTGCTACGGGCCTTAAATACGTTCTTACCTGAGTGTGTTGCTTTGGGCCTAAAATATTTTCTTACTTGAGTATATGTGCTATGAACACACATACCCAGGTGAGAAAATGTCAACAATTTTGTACTGGAAATAGTTATCAAAATTATTCTCTCACAATAAGTGTTGATTAAAAAAAAATCGCTAAGCTAGTAGATAATTATTTGGAGTCATCAATACTGCAGAAAAATAAAGTGAATCACCAATACATTGTAAAAGTTAAAGGAATCACCAACAGAGTGGAAACATTAAGGGAGTCCCCATTAGAGTGAATAGCTTTTGATGATTACTTACATATAAATCGTACACACGCATTTACATATTCACTCACACACACACGCGCGTGGACACACACCGACATGCGCACACACACATTTGCACTCACACACACGCGGACACACACCTACACGCGCACCCACACATATGCACTCACACACGCACATAAGTCCAGAACCCGATTGTGTAGTCAAACGACTTGTGATTACTGAGAAAATCACATTGCACGTGCAAACACATTTGTTGCCAGTGTTTCTTTCAGACTTTTTTCTGGGGGGGTGGACACAGGTAAAGGTATGCATTTTTATATAGATTCTTTTTCGTTTGGGGATGGTGGTGGTGGGGGGGGGGTGGGTCGGCTAGACGTGTAACCCCCCGCCCCCGAATAAATGTCTGAAAGAAACATTATTGATTTTTGAAACTTTACAACTAGAAGCTCACCTCTCACCAGATAGTGAAAAAAAATTAATGAAGACAAATAAGATTTTAAAAGTTTTAAAATGCTCCAACCTTTCTGGTGAAACATCAACACAATAATCCTAATTGTGGATAAGTGATGGATTTTTTGTTCTAATCAGGTGCACATTTTGTTGAGCTAATTACAGGTAAAATTAACCTTCAAGTAAAACTGCGAACTTGTTGAAAGTATGTAAAAATATAGGGTGAGGTAGTGATGTGCAAGTTATCTGAACACAGGTGAGATAGATAGATAAGGCGAGCATAGGTAAAAAAATATCTGAATTAATCTTTACTTTTCTTACAGAAGTTTATTCTCTTGAGATTCGCCTATAATTGTGATATTAATTTTACCTCTGTTTAAATAAACTATTGTACGCTGGATTTATAAACGGAATTTTCTTTACAATGGATGGTTTTAGAATTAGATGTCTCGATTCTGTGGCGTATTATTCTTGCGGTGAAAAGTTTGAATAATTTAAGTCGGCATGATCAGATGAGATACTTGATATATATTTGCAACACTGAACTGTAAACACACCTCGTTGTTGAGAGGTAGCGAGCTGAGAAGAGCCAGCTCATCTAGGATACGGGGTGCTCTTCATATTTTTACTCTATAAAGCAATAGACAATGTAATCAAAGATATTCAAGAATGGGAAGTAACTCTAGAAACAGTAACTTACGTAACTCATCAACATACAGAACTCTTCAGTCTTTGGAAATAAAGGGAGGTCAGTAGTGCATCAAGGAAAACAAGTTGGTAAAAAATGTCTCCAAAATTTATTGTGAAATTGACCCTTGTTTTAAAGCTCAGATATATTGAGGAATAGGACAATGCTCTACCCTCAATCAAGGTTTTTGTTTCGTTCCTTTAGATCTGAAGATTATAATATTTTTTTTAAAGTTGTTGAACCCCAGAAGAATTTAGCCTGTACGGATGTCAAAAATAGAATTCCTGTCTAGCTTTGATGCGGGTAATCCCTACGTAAGATCATCAAGGTGAGGGTTAAGGCTAGTGTTGGATTAGATAGAGGTCAACTACAACCAGAACACAATGACACGGAATATCAAGTGTGCACCCATATCCCTTATATTTACATGAATGGACAAGAGGAACCCACAAGCACAGTAAATAAACACTCAGATCGTGTTAGCACAGTAAATGGACACCCAGACCCCCCTAGCTCAGTGAATGGACACCCAGACCCCCTTAGCTCAGTGAATGGACCCCCAGACCCCCTTAGCTCAGTGAATGGACCCCCAGACCCCCTTAGCTCAGTGAATGGACACCCAGACCCCCTTAGCTCAGTGAATGGACACCCAGACCCCCTTAGCTCAGTGAATGGACACCCAGACCCCCCTAGCTCAGTGAATGGACACCCAGACCCCCTTAGCTCAGTGAATGGACACCCAGACCCCCTTAGCTCAGTGAATGGACACCCAGACCCCCTTAGCTCAGTGAATGGACACCCAGACCCCCCTAGCTCAGTGAATGGACACCCAGACCCCCTTAGCTCAGTGAATGGACACCCAGACCCCCTTAGCTCAGTGAATGGACACCCAGATCCCATTAGCTCAGTGAAAAGACACCCAGATCCCTTTAGCGCAGTGAACGGACACCCAGACCCCATTAAGAGTGAAGTCAATCCCAGCCCCTAATAGTGCAGCGAATACAGCTCTAGGAATAAATTGAAAGAATATTGTCTAAAGATTTTAAAAAGTTAATCTAAAACACATGTATGTATAGTTCGATAAGAAATAAACACAGGACAAATGTTCACTCGGACCATATATATATATATATATATATATATATATATATATATATATATATATATATATATATATATATATATATATGTGACCTAGGCTAGTTGCATCTTTCCTGTTCGCAACGCCAAATGTGACCTTCCCCGAGTCTATCCTGCCCGACAACGCCAATTGTAACGAGTTGAACCACTCATGCTACACAACATCGACTACAGTAGAAAGACTCGAAAATGCAGGTTCGCTATTGATCCTTTTATTACATGAATCAAGAAATGCTTCAATATAACACAATGAATCAACAGAAATGTTTCACAATAATAGTCTGAATCAACTGACCCCCTAACAGTCCTCACTAGGCTTCATATAACTGAATCCACATGTCTATTGTCCTTCTTAACACAATATAACCAACTTGAGTATGTCACACAGACTGACTGATCTAAAGCGAGCGACGACGACGGAAGAGAGCGAGTTCAGTCGTCCCCTCCTATTTATGCCTTGTATCCGTACTCGTCTCCGTACTTGTATTCCTCCGTAATCGATACTTGTACTCGATGTCTCCGACCACTAGTTGCGTAGTTCTAGCGTACAGTCCGTGAAATAACATCTGCATCCTATCAATCAAAGTTGACAGGCCGTCTCACTCTCCTCGTACCGTTTCCCAAAATAGCACGCGTTGGCTTTGAGATTGTTATCAGACCGACCCAATAAGCCACCTGCTATGTTGCGTCAGACTGCAATAATGCGTCTCGGCTTCTCGTTCGTTATCAGATTTGTAACTAGTAGTTAGGCCCACCCTAGCTACATCCACCCCTGCCTTTTTTTGTGTGTTTTCAACCACAAACAACGCCTGGCAGGTGCACTCCTCCAAAGTCAATCGCATAATCGTAAAAAAATTTTTATTGTTCCACTCACTGTCTACGACGTCCCATTCGTATACGATTGACAGTTATACCTATTTCACATATCAACTGTGTCTACATCGTCTTCCTGAGACACAAAACAGTTCTAGAATTCACATCCACCCTTTTCGTTTGGTGCCTTCACCAGTTCACTTTTATAGCTTTTTGAACAGTCTGTTCTCATACCAGCGCGACCATGAAAGACTTGATGGTTGCTGACAAAAAATTTCGTCTTCCTTCTGTTCCTCAAACTTCTCCGCGGACCACTTATCTGATGGTCTACTGTCTCTCTGCTTCTGGAAGGAACGGGATCCTCTTTGTTGCCGTTATCCTCCACTTGTGTATCGCGGTTGTTCTGTTGATGGTGATATGGTTCCGGGATGGGTATGTGAATTTCCGTTATAGTTTCCGGTTCCCTAATTGTCTTGGATTTCCTTGTGTGTAACTGCTCTTCTTGCCTATTCCAATATTTCTTTAATTGAGCAATATTCGCCCACCGACCCGGTTTGGCGTGATCGATGGGTCTTATCTTAAAGGGGCCACCTGCTACTTTAGGCATCTCCACGACTTGCCATATCTCCTGTCCCCAGAGATCGTGGATTTTGTTTCTGCCTAACGGGTGGCTACGCAGTAATACCCTGTCATTCAGTTTGAGTGGCGGGTCCTTTGTCTGTACCGGCGGTTCCCTTCGCCGTGCTTCATGTTCTAGTCTTTCCTGTACTACCCTGTACATTTCTCTAATTCTTCTCATATGTTCATTCACATATTCCAGTGCTGTGTATGAGCCAGTCATACTCTCCCTTTTTCCTAGGAACAAATCAAGAGGGAGTCGAGCCTCCCGTCCGAACAGCAACATGTATGGCGTAAAGCCGGTTGTGGCATGGGGTGTGCAGTTGTATAGATATACCAACTCTGGGAGAAAATCAGGCCAACGTTTTTTCTGTTCAGGTTCTAGCGTACGCAGCAAATCATGCATGCTGCGGTTGAACCGTTCACACTGTCCGTTTCCTTTCGGATTAAATGTGGTTGTTCTAGATTTGTTGATCCCGTAGTGGCTGCACAGTTGGTTAATTACTTCTGACTCGAAAGCCCTTCCTTGGTCAGAGTGTAATTGTCTTGGTATGCCATATTTGATGAACCAATGTTCTATTAAGACCTTTGCCACTGTTTTGGCGGTCTGATCTCGCGTGGGCACCGCCACCGTCCATTTGGTGAATACATCAGTCATTACCAACACATGTTCCGTCCCATCCGATGATTGCTCCAACGACGTAAAGTCCATAGCCACAATCTCTAGTGGTTTTGTCGCTAGTAGGTGTCCTGATGGCTGTCTCATTTTGACAACTGGCATTTTCGCATGCTGACACCTCACACAAGCCTCACAATGGCGTTTGACCTCCATTTCCATATTGGGCCAGTAACACCTCCGTCGTAATATTTTGTGCGTCCTGTCCTGACCCTGGTGTCCTGCCCTGTCATGTGCCAACCTTAGCACTTCTTCTCTTAACTGTCCAGGCACCACCACCTGGTGTATTGTCCCATCAATTTGGTCATGAATTCTCCGCATGAGAACACCATCCTCTATACTGAGACGGTCCCACTGACTCAGTATTTTCTTTGTTTCTCGACCAAATTGTTCTCTTTCCCTTCTTCCTGGGAATTTTTGTTCCTGGACGTATTTCAATAGCGGTTGTAAGCCACTATCCGTTCTCTGGGCATCTCTTATCTTTTGGTGATTAAGGCAATTAAAATCACTATTGTCCATATGTCCGGGTTCCGTGGATATGTGCTCCACCCCGGTCTGCCCGTTCTGTATCCCTTGTACCCCATGAGGGATATCTGTTGACGCTCTGACCTCACATATTCCTGTCAGTGTTTCTTCCTCATCACCCGGTCTCTCGTAAGGATTCCTTGATAAGGCGCCCGCATTGCCATTGGACCGCCCCGGGCGATACTTGATCTCTAGGTCAAAGAGTGCCAATTCTGCTGCCCATCGCTGTTCGATGGATCCCAACTTTGCTGTCTTTAGGTGGCTCAAGGGGTTATTGTCAGTGTATACCACACATTTAGCACCTAATAGATAGTCCCTGAATTTCTCAGTCACAGCCCATTTTAATGTCAAAAGTTCTAGTTTCATGGCGCTGTAATTTGTCATGTTCCTCTCTGATCCCTTCAGAGCTCGACTTGCATACGCAATAACCCTGAAACCTTGCTTTTGTTGTTGTGATAGCACAGCTCCCAGACCTTTAGAGCTGGCGTCAATTTCTAGCCGAAATGGTTTGTCAAAGTCTGCGTATCCCAATATCGGCGCCTCTGTCAAAGCCTTTTTCAATAGCTTAAACGAGTTCAGGCATTCATCAGTCCATAATTCACCTATCAGTTGTGTTTTACCTTTCTTTTTCTCCTTACTGTGTTTCTTTGTCATTTTGTTTACCAAGTCATGCAATGGTGCGGCAATTTTTGCAAAACCAGGTACAAATTTTCTATAATAGGAGGCAAAGCCCAAGAATGATCTGACCTCTACCGTAGTTGTTGGCTGTTTCCATTCTTTAACAGCTGCAATTTTATCTGGGTCAGTGGCGATGCCATCCGACGAAATCACGTAACCCAAAAAATGTACCGATTTCAGACCGAAGCAGCATTTGTCTGGGTTCAGCTTTACTCCTATCTCCCTAAGACGGAGAAACACTTGTTCTAATCTTTTTAGATGGTCCTCCCAAGTTTTTGAGTAAACTAGAATATCATCCAAATACACCAACATTATTTGAAATAGAAAGTCACTCATAGCACTCTGCATTACTCGCTGGAATGTAGCAGGTGCATTAGTTAGACCAAACGGCATACGGGTCCACTCGTACAGTCCCAGTGGAGAAATAAATGCAGTTTTATGTTGATCGTTGGGGTGCATGGCCACTTGGTGGTAGCCACTAGCCAAATCCAAGGTAGAAAAAAATCTTGCTCCCCCCAACGCATCAAGACATTCATCAATACGAGGCAAGGGGAATGCATCCCTTCTTGTGATATTGTTCAATTTCCGGTAATCACAACACAGTCTTATCTCCCCTGACTTCTTTTTTACCACTACTATCGGTGCCGCATACGGGCTCGTACTGGTTGTAATAATTCCCTTTTTTAGTAGATCATTCAGGTGTGCTTTCACCGCCGAGTAGTGACTCGGTGGTAATCTTCGATAAGGTTGCGCCACCGGCTTGTCTTGTAGTAAGGGTATCTGGTGTTTTATTACTTCCGTGTACCCCAAATCACCCTCATACGAGGCAAATATATCACTGTATTTATTCAGCAATTCATTTAGTTTTGGGTCCTCAGTTTCCGGGAATGTATATGATCGGCCATCCTGTTTCTTCACCTCGGCCGTCACATTGACCGACCTAATTGTTACTTCATTACTGCTGGTATTGCTCAGTTCGATACACTGTGCCGACCTTAGTACCTCGACGTTCTGTGGTACTCCTACCAGAGTATTAGGTGGTATAAAAATTTCTTCATCCAAAACATTTGCCACTAATCCTTGAACTAGTCCATTTTCCGCTGATGTGTATGTCCGCAGTAACACGACGCCTGCCCTCAGTGCGGCGCCACATGGTTCTATCATCACATCACCATTCACGCTTCTATCACCAATTTGTAATGTGATTGCCTTGACCGTGTTTGCCGGGACTGCTGTCCTTCCTCTGGTCTTGGCAAACCTGGCCAACTTGAATCCCCGACCTGGTGTGGTCGATCCGACAATATTTGTAAGAAATTCTGGCAACTGGCCAAGAATATTCATGCCCAACAGGCAAGGTATATTTGACACATTTGTCTCTAGGTTGTGTTTCGTAACGAACACCCCAACCTGCTTCAACCTATGTCCTGCCACCACGACATCCGCCAGAAAATAACCACAGTATGGAATGGTTAGTCCATTAGCTGCCGTCAGGCGCATGCATGTGTCAGACCTCAACCTATGGTCTTTTCCTTTCATCC